ACCTTTCCAAGGTGCTTTCCGCCCTCACCCGGGCTCCCTTTGAACCTCTGCGGGTCGTGGGCTTATGTTATCTGTCCTACATGGTGTCATTTTTGATTGCAATAACCTCAGCCCGCAGAATATCGGAGCTGGCAGCCCTTTCCACTAAGCCTGACCTTTGTATCTTCCATACGGACCGGGTGGTCCTTCATTCATCCCTAAGGTTAACTCCACATTCCATCAATCCCTGGAGTTGGTCCTTCCAAACTTCTGTCCCTCTCCCTCTCATCACCTGGAGCGGATGTGGCATACCCTAGACGTCCGCAGGGCTCTCAGGATTTATCTTAAAAGGACCTCCTCCTTTAGGTGTTCGGAGAGTCTCTTTATCTCTGTCCAACCGGCCACCCTGGGTCTGAGGGTTTCCTCCTCCATAGTAGGTCGTTGGCTCCGGGCTACTATTGCCTCAGCCTATGAGGCTCAGTCCCTTCCTGTACCTGCACGCATCACGGCTCATTACCCGTAGCGCTGCCACATCCGCCGCCTGGGCAACCCAAGCATCCTTGGAGGACATCTGCCGGGCAGCCACTTGGTCTTCACCTTCCCCATTCATCCGTCACTATAAGTTGGATGTGTACGCATCAGTAGAGGCGGCTTTTGGCCGTCGGGTGTTGCAGCAGGTTCTTAGAGGTGAAGCTGCTTCTTCGGACCAGGCGGATCTCTCCCTATAGAGAGTTCTGCTTTGGCCTGTCCCTGTCATGACTGCTGGACCCTCGCTACAGTAGAATGCACGTTGTCTTACCTGAATGTCCTTTCTGGGTAGCAGAGGGTCCAGCAGTCATTCCCACGCTCTTCTCCCGTGCGGGGGCGGGGGTGTTTCTAATGTTGTTGTTTCTCAGCTCAGCTTCACAGTCTGCAAGATCTCCTTCGTCAGAAATCTGAGAAGCCAGAGGAAGTGGGAGGAGCTTCTCAAATTGCAGACTCAGTCAGTACCGGAACACTGTGTTAACCCTGTCATGACTGCTGGACCCTCTGTTACGCAGAAAGGATGTTTAGGTAAGACAACGTCCACTCTCTTATAATGGCAAGAACCACTGAATTAAAATCTGAAATAAATATGCACTATTGAAATATGTCTTTATCTGTTCTTCATCTTTTATGGTTCTGAATATGATTTCACTGATTATGAGACAAGGCAAAAAGTTAATTGTATTGTATCTTTATCTTTTGGAATTTTATACAAGTCAGTCATATCTCTCATTTTGTTATATGTAAAACGATATATATCCTTAATTATTTATGTTAATGTTCTGTATTTCTTGGCAATTTTTTGTTTCCATAAAAATTAAATTTGAACGCAGTGTGGTCACTGCTTCCCAATCAGTTTAACAGTGCTTTCTTTTCAGATTTGAGACTGGACATCCCTAATGATTTAAGTATTAAATATCTGTTCTTTCTATCTGATTTCAGGACCAAGTGGTTTGAAACAAATTGTTGTATTTTGTATCTAAAAGTATCTAAAACATTTTATTTTTTTCATAACAATGGAATATGCATTTAACCAGCATATATGAAGACATTTGAATATTTCTCAGATTTTATTTTAGTGAACTATTCAAACTTACCTTGGCAGATTGATCTGTTCCAATTGCATCAATAGATACTAAACAGGAGTGAGGAGAAAATTAAGTCCTGACGCACCCTACACAAGAGGGCTTGTGGGGTAGACTCCCCCCCCCATCAAAGCCGACTGGAATTGACTTTAGAGGAAGGAGGAGAACCATAATAATGCTGGCTCCAATTACTAAGCGCCAGTTGCCTATGGAGATTCTCAGTCATCCAGTTCATGGTTGTCCCAAAGGTGCTTTTTCAAGAGGCAACTGGACTTTCTTGTTTTTCTTTGAAGATTTTCATTTCTCATCCAAAAAGCTTCTTCAACTCTGACTGGATGGTGAGGAATGGAAGGATTATATTCCTTGCAGTTCCAAGAAGGCTCCACACCCATTTGTACTACTCAGGTGATCCTGAGGACACAGATAAACATCCAAGTGGCCTCAATGTCCTTCTAAAAGAATGCAAATGACCAGCTGTCTGCAAGGAATATAATAATAATAATAATAATAAGTATGTGTGTATATGTATATGTGTATGTGTATGTGTATGTGTATGTGTATGTGTATATGTATATGTATATGTTATGTTATGTTATGTTATGTTATGTTATGTTATGTTATGTTAATGTTATGTTATGTTATGTTATGTTTATGTTATGTTATGTTATGTGTTATGTTATGTTATGTTATGTTATGTTATGTTATGTTATGTTATGTTATGTTATGTTATGTTATGTTATGGTTATGTTATGTTATGTTATGTTATGTTATGTTATGTTATGTTATGTGTTTTGGACCTGGTCTGGGTGTTAAATGAATTTCGTTGTATGGGTATACTGTATACATGTACAAAGACAAAATAATAATAATAATAATAATAATAATAATAATAATAATAATAATAATAATATTCCTTGCAGACAGCTGGTCATTTGCATTCTTTTAGAAAGACATTGAGGCCACTTGGAGGTTTATCTGTGTCCTCAGGATCACCTGAGTAGTACAAATGGGTGTGGAGCCTTCTTGGAACTGCAGACCAGTTGTCTGCAAGTAATATAAATCCTTCCATTCTCCACCATCCAGTCAGAGCTGAAGAAGCTTCTGAGATGAGAAGCGAAACGTCTTCAAAGAAAAACAAGAAAATCCAGTTGCCTCTTGAAAAAAAGACACCTTTGGAACTTTTAAGCGGCAGAGTTAATCTAGAAGGATACCATGGTATGGAAAGCTACTGAAAGATCAAGGAGAGAACAAGGATGTATGCACTATGCCTATCCCATTCCCACAAGAATTAATCTGTAAATGTAACCCATGCTGTTTCGGTCACAGCTTGAACCTAACCAGAAGGGAACCAGATGATCCAAAATTGTATTTTCCTCTTTGTAATCAATCAAGATACCAATGTTTAGTGCTATATTAGTACATTTTAGTTCTTTTTTACATTGTTGGAAAACATATACAGATATAAAAATAACAATTAACTGAAATACTGTACCTTAATAATAACATTGAAATGATTCCATATTAGCTCATATAATCAATTTTGCTGCCAGTGATTTGTTTTGTGCATAGCCTGCTGTTTCTTTTTTTCTTCAGGACCACTGTTAAAACAAAAATCTTGCTGACTTTGAAGGGAGAAACATTTTCTGAACACAGGCTGAATTGTCAGCAATTTTACATTGTAATAAAAGTACAGTCATTTTTTTCAGATTCCTGTCCATTGTTTTGATATATTTTGCATTGCATTAATTGAGATTTAGACTGCTTGTCTTATGTGTGTCTTTTTTGTTCATCAAAACCCTATTCCTTTTGACAATCAAGGTCCATGCAAAAATAAGAAATGTTCTGTTTTGGCTTAGAACTGTCAACCTAGGATATGCCAGGTTATTGTTTCCAAGAGCTAATTATGATTATGAATAATTGAGGAAATGTTTATTGTTGAAGCTTAATTACAATGTAGCAAAAATAGCAGGGTACAGAAAAAAATTACTAGGGTGAATAGATGGTTTCACTGGGTGGATGTAACTGAATTCAATGTTCTTTGAATTTTAATTACAAAGCATCTAAAGATTATTGGGTTAAAAATTATACTATATAATTTTTATATTTAGTATACTATATATACTGATAATCTTTAAAAAGTCAGCCTGTGTGAATGCACAATAATCAGTATACAAACAGTAATCTGAGGTCCAAAATATTTGTTAAAATCTTAGTATTCAATATTTATAAAGTAAATTGTTTTAATTATTGGGTATATATAACGTATAAATTCTTCATTTTGGGAAGGATCAAAAGAATTCAGATTTCTTTAAATTTTGCAAAATATATTTAATCCAAGGATATAATTTGGGATGATGACTTATTATAATATAAAATTGGATCTAAAGCTTGATTTTGATCTAAAATAGTCTTCTGATCAGGTATGCAGGATACTGAAAACAATTATGTATTTGCTTTAGATTAGGAAATATTGATTCAGGAATCTTAATTAACTGTTCTTTTTCTGATATTTCTTTTTCAATTATCATCTTAGAAAATTTACTAATCCAAATTAAATCAGACCATGTTTTGAATACTTATTATCACCCCTTGCATAGACTTTCCCCACTCATGTTCTCTGTAAAAGCTATTTATCATAAATATAAAAATTTTCAGGGCAGAGAGGATTATCACTTTTTAACACTGGACTAATAACTGGAGATCCCAACTTTTAACAGTCCATGTTACAAGAGAGATTGCTATTAAATATATTTAATAGTAGAAACATAACAGAAAGAAGGCATATAATATATGTCTTCTACTATATTTTGTAGTATACGCAGCCATCAATATTAATTTTATTATTGAATTTCACATCTTGTATAATGTTAAATGGTTCATTCTGTGACCGGGAAGAAAAGATATATTGAACAAATATATTCTGATGGGCAAATCTTTTATTGCTGCAAATGTATTGAATTGAATATTCTGCATGTGCTTACATAATTCATGCCAGTTTCATTTATTTATATTTTGTTTATTTGTACAAACTATTGTCTAAATGCTAGTCAAACATCAGCATTTCTTGTACTTTTATGACTAGTGTAACACTGATACAATTCAAAATGATTGAATGTATGATTTCAAAACATGTAATCTATTTGTGTTGAATTTGCAAAACATGTAATCTGTTTGTGCTGAATTTGTGCTGCTCATTTGGCTGTCTCAAAATCTAGTCTTGACAGCATTGCTATGTATCATTCCTGGTAAAAGCTTTGTTCTTGTTTCTTTCTTCCTTGATCATCTGAATTTATCACTTTGTTCATTAAATGTGTTTCCTGGACCGTACAATGCAAATATGTATTTATTTAGCAGTGATATTATGAAGTATTTATCTCATTGGGCTGATTATATTCTTTTTTTTTCTCTCAGAACGATGCAAATTTTCTTAATACTCTACATGAAGTCTATTTACAAGTCTTGACCAAGGATACTGATAGCATCAAGCTATAACTGCAATGAATTGAATCCTACTGACCACCTATCTGCTTCAGAAACATTATGCCTCTTCTGTACAACTCTTATATTTTAAAGACATTTTTTGAGTTCCTGAAGTCTTTCTAAGCCTCCAAGGAATGCTGTTCCTTAGAAATATTGTATAAATAATGTTCTAAGAAATGGTGTGGTTTCACTGTGACCAGTTACCAGCAGGATTTTATTTCTGTATGGGAAATATGGTCTTAACGTTTAACAGCACATTTTTCTTATTGTTTTAAGCAGTGTCAAATATTTGATATAATTCTTTACCATATGCACCCTGAATGTTCAGGATAACTAAAGAACATCAACAGTTGTGAAACCAGCTTCAAATTTAAGGAGCCATGGAAGAGTTTAAGAGGATACTTCTAAGGCTTTCAAATGAATGGATATGCAGTATAACATTTCTGCTTTTAGCCTTAACATAGCAACAGTATGACCTCTGGGTCATATCAACCACAAATTGGCTCTTCTGTATGCAGAATACGCATTCACTTTTACTAGGAATATATGAAATATGATTTCCCTTGAACAATAAGTTCAGTGTGTTTTGTCAGAGATATATATATATTTTTAAAAAACATTTTAAAAAATTATTTCTGTGGAATATCATTTTCCCCCCTATCCAGGTCAAATGCCAATTTTGGTATAGATTTTCCTGTAGAAAGGTTGACTTGTTTCTAGATAAGCTGTTGTTCAGTTACTGTTTGGAATAGTATTAAGAACTCTCCCTAAACTTACATTATATACTGCTGTAAAGATCAAACTTCTTCCCAAAATAAGTCAGAATCTGATCTCTGTTTTATATGCTGCTATTGGTCTTTTGTGATTTCTATTTATTTTATTCTAGCATGTTACAGTAGCTAGCAATACTTAAGTGATAACATATACTCGATTTACTCAAGCAATAGCAATGTAAAGATTAGCATTTTTAAAATTATGTCTTTGTTTTATATTGTGAAACGTAATTTTGTAGTCAGTTTAGCCATTCAAGTTGCACTGCTTATTTTTCAAAGCATGGTTGAAATGGAGGAGGAGCATAGTCTTCGCTCTGTATATTATGGTATATTTCTGTGAAGCCATTAAAAAGAGGGCTGGCAAAAAAATAATATCCTACTATATATGCCCAAGAGAATCTGGAGTAAATCTTACTGGTCACTATCAGTGTGATAATGAAGATGGCATCATTATCCAGTTGTTATTTCTAATTCATCAATGAAGTTTTGATTATTGTGACTCCATCACAAATCAGTGTTTTTGATATAAACTATGTGTTATTTTTTTTTAACTAATCAATATGTACACTTAGATTTTGAGTGATTTTAGGTAGAAGTTTTTATGTTTAGCAAACTCTGCCTTCTGAAAGAACCTCTTCAGCCTTTGAAAGTGTTTCTAATAACATAGTATTTTATATTGGTTATATGTACAAAATTCAGGGAAATATGTGTATAGTGACACATATTTGACAGGCTTTAATAGTGAAACTCAAAAGTATCTTTTCAGGCTTCGTAGACTTTTTATAGAAAACCAGAAAGCTCTCTGCTTGTACACTGGATTTGTTGTAGCACACCCATGTACGTATACCAACAACAAATTTGCTTAGTGCAGCATTCTTCCATGTATAATTACAGGCTATTGTCAGACTATTAAAACTGAATTTTGTTACCGTGTTTTGTTTATGGACAAGAAAGAAATACACAGTCATAAATTATTGTAGAAAAATAACCTCAGCCATATATGTGAGATTTGCAGTGATGAAACATATGAAGTATGATAACAGTGAATGCAAGTATTATATTAAATATATAGAGAAAAAGTTTCCTTGACAATGAATGTACTTTTAAGTTCCTCGGTCTCCAAGAATTAATGAGAAAGGGAATATTGCTTTAAACAGCAAAGATATATCTTTGGTATATTTGCTCCAATAAAACTTTTTTTATTCTCATTTACTCTTTTGTGTTGAAAAGCAGTGCAAAAGTTAGTTCATGGCAATTCTAAATTCTTCAGGACCTATATAAGGATCACAAAATAAGTCTCTATTCTTCAGAAAACATCCTTAATTAGAAGGTAGTTTGAAAGCTTAGTGATTTTTAACATTTTTCATTGATACTGAGTCCTCTACGCACGTTAACATTGCAATACGTAGCTTACACTAGGAGAAGAGGGATGTACTATGTAGTACAAAGCACTGTTGGCAGCATTCACTGTTATCACACTAGTGCTCTTATTGCTTGTGGTCATGTGACAAAACGCTTTTTAAGAATTGCTTTGACAAACTAAACTGCAGAGTAAAATCACAGATGTTTACAAGATGTGAAATCACTGGACAGCTTTAGCCTGATTACCTAAATTTTTAGTAAAAGTTTCACTTTATAATCTCTCTTATTGTTCTCTGCATGCACCAATAACAAATGCTTAAATAACCAATTTAGGCTATTGATTTTAATTTTTCTCCTGGCAAAGTATCTCTTGAAAGTAGCTCATATTTTAGACTGTATTCTAAAATGAATATACACTATCTAAGCATGTATTTTTACACTGCCTATATGCAACTTCTAAAAAAGTTTAATATTTGTCTAAAGTGGCTTTCAAATATGCAGCTTATTGAAGATCTGATTGTTGTTTTGTAGGTAAAGATATTGTCTTTGAATTGTGCCTAATAACTATACATTTGTGACACATTTTACAGCATCTAATATTTTGCAAAGGCCTAAGGCACAATGTGACACAGAAAAGCAATTTGTATTTTCAGTCTTGAAATGGAACTTATATTTCAAACTGATTAAATTTTAATTTTTCCTATGTTTGTTTGCTTGGGTCTATTGCATTCCCAGAACTTTCTAATATTATGTGTTAGCAAGGGTATAATTATTAATGGACTTTCAATAGAAGTATTTAATGTCAAGTGTTTGGCACAAATAACAAGAAACCAAAAAAAAAAAAAAACCCACAAAAAAAAAACCCTAGCAATCTCTTCTTGGCTATTTAGTTGCTCTTTTAGCATATCTTAAAGAGGAAAATGTGCAATATATATACATATATATTTCACCTCACTATTTGACATTTGCAAAAATGTTAAAATGCAATATCTTCACCTTTGGTGGGGAAAAATTGCAATAATCTTCCCCTTGTAGTTTGCTTTGTAACAATAGCATGTCTTTGTTTGAAATCCATACTATATTCAGTATGTGGATTTACTGCTTTAGTTTGCACTCCCATGCTGATTGTGACTTTGAGGAGCTTCAGATCTTTATTATCTTAATAACTTTTGGAGATTATTGGGCATAATTATATCCCAGTGGTGCAGCACCTATATCTGAAGAATTGCAATAAATAATATATGACCTCAGTTTCATAGGTCTGTGGACATAATAGAAAACACTAAAGGCCATTAAGGAAGAAATACTTGTGTATATTCTCTTCCCAATCTCCTTGACTGTAATATAACTTGTTTATGACCCTGTGCACAGTTATTGGTGAATCAGCTTGTTGGAATACATGTGTTGGAATCCTTGATCTGTTGATGCTCCTAGGATAGACTGAATTGTGCCTACTGGTTTTCAAGCAGTTTTTAAATTGTCATCACAATGCATCAACAGTTCAGTATATGGGTATGTAATTTGTGCCATCATATTATGTTGGCAAATATTAAGTTATTGCATAAATGTTTAAAAATGAACATTTTCAGTGGAAATTTTGTATGTTTTCAAATATATTTTTGTAATAAAAACTCAAAAAGACAAAAGTTTCAATCTGTCCTGAAACTTTCTTGGTCACAGTTTAACTTTGTGAGAAAAAGCTTAGGCAGGCAGCATACTGAAATACATCAATTGGCTTTATAAACAGAACAATCTGGAAGCTGAACAAAGCATTTTTGCTTTAACACCCCCCCCCCCTTTTTTTTTTTTTTTTGGTATTGTTTCCAGTATCTTTTATGGCGTTTGACATAAAAGGGTATTAATTTTGGCTATCTGGTAAAATGTGATAGTCAAAAATATAATTTAACTTCATTATACAGTGCTTAAATGTGCTGAGCTATGCTAGGTTTTATTGATAGGTCATTATCCACATCACTACAATTACTCATAATTAAGAAGAGCTGAACTGGGGATGTTATTTTCCTTCAGTATTAAAATGACAAAAGCAACACTGACAAAGGATAAAGGTTTGTGAGTGAAATGCCAATTAAATGCTAATGAGTGAACCATTGTGATTTCATGATGGATTGTATCCAACTGCATTCTTCTGCCCTTAATTAAGAAACTTAATTAAAATGCCTTTCTTCTGTAATTTCCTATACCTCCTAGATTTCCAGGTAATCCTCCACCATACATTCAGCAACCATTCAGAATTCCAACAACTATTCCAGCACACACACACAGTGGTCACATCATTAAAAAATTGGCACTTAGCAGTTTGCCCACCCTTGCAACTCACCGAAGGGATGCTGCTATTGCATCATTCACCTGCCTTTCCTTCATCTCAGCCACTCACCTAGCCCACCAATGCAAGCAAAGTTGCTGCAGCCCCTGGGCCCTGTTTCCTACCCTGCCAGGTTCCCGAGGCCTTTGGCTTCCTCCCCAGTCATACATGTGTGGGAGGTATAAATTGTTCCACTTCCTTTATTTTTCTGCAGCTGCTGATAGGAGCACCCAGCCAATGCAACACATAGCCTTACTGCAGAGGCTACCTTGCACCATTCTGTGAAACAGCTGCCACTCTTGTGATCTTTCAGAAGGATCCTTTTCCTAAATTGCTTCCAAAATCCCATGAAGCAGCCTCTGTAGGAAGGCCACTCCTTTTATCAGCTGAGTGATATTTTGGAAAGGCAACTTCTGATACATACGTATGTATTTTCCACCATGATTACATAGTGCATTGCATCTGATAAAGTTTAACTGTAAAAAATGAGCTATTTGGAGCTGGCAGAAAAAGATATTGAGAGAATTGAGAGAATTAAAAGACTTCATTAGATAGTGTGATCATTGGGGGGGGGTTGCTACTAATGGAAACTGAGGGAGGGCTCATTTTGAGGACAAATAAGGAATTTTGTCAATATTAATTACTACAATTTACCCACCGATACCTATGCAGAGGTCTCAATTCTTTATATATGTTTGATTAAAAGTTTTAGAGAACATTACAGAACAAACAGAATGAAGAAAATTAGGAAAGGCAAATGTGTAGAAATGTGAAAATAGCTTTCTTTTCAGTAAATATGATTACAAAGCTCTCTAGAGTTCTCAGTTCTCTATATGGGAACATGAATCAGATTCTTATAAAGTAGAAAATGACCAATCCAGACAGCATGGTGGATTTCTTTTATTTCCATTTTTAAAGCATCCTAATTCCAAACTTTAAGCTTAATTGCCTATCATTTCAAAATTATAGTGTGGGATTGGTAGGGGGAGCAGATCATGAGGTTAACAAGTCTACCAAACTAAACCTTGTGTCACAAAAGTTATAATAAATACTTAAGTCTTTGAAGTAGGAACACACAACTATTAGCTTAAGACATTGTACCATATTTCATTGGGCAAGTCAAAAACTACATTCCAAAAATGGGTCTGAACAAACATGGGTGGAGGCTATTCTTTTCCTTTAACTGTTATTCATACCGTACAATACTTGCAAATTCCTCTTCTCTCTACCACAAAAATGGCTACAGCTTTTTTTTGCATTTGTAAAGGCCTGTGACCAACTTGGCATTATAGCTGTTCTTTGATAAAACACCAGATTTGTGCTTTCTCTAAGAGCCAGCAAGCTACAGAATTGATAAAACCCCAAGCATTTTATGTTTATTTTGTTTGGTTTTAGGGGACAAAATGATTAAAGTGCTGGCTTACTGAGTTCTAGTTAGCCTTATGCATGAAAAATCAGCTGGGTGACTGGGCCAGTCAATCACTCTCTCAATGCAACTAGTCTCACAGGGTTGTTGTGGGGAAAATAGGAGTGTTGGTGCATTCACCACCTTGAATTGTATATGAAAAAAATGCTGAATCAATATTTTTTTTAAAAAAACCCGGTCTATAAATAAGGGTATTTGGGTATGTCATCAAATCTCAAAACAGATCTAAAATATTACACCCACTCAGTTTCAGGAGCTGCCTAAACTGGTGGCTCAGTCTTGCTGCATCAAATTGGGCAAGAAAAGTGCATGGCATGTGGCTCTGTTGTGGATTTAATAAGACAAACACAACTTTTAGATTAATCAGAGACAGATTTTATATATATATTGCGCAATAGGTTCAAGGCTCTGTACATGAAGCGTTGAACAAAGACAGGAATTAGGTACAATGGTTTTATACCCTTCTAGACAAAGGATTCTTTTGAAGTCAGCAATTCATATGGTCATATACATTTATCAATTTTAATTGACATTACAGAGTTTCTTTGCAAAACAGTCATAATTCTTTTTGTAGATTACTGAAGCATCTCTTTTATCTTTTGACGATGGACAACTTTTAACTCATGTGGATCCCCTTGACCTAACCAACCTTTAAGCTGTATGTCATTAGAATGTTCCTTTCTTCTGACAACTTAGAGGCTTCCTAGAGGAACCAAAAGGATTTTGGCTGAGTTTGTACTTTTTCCAACCGGATGCATTGCTTTTTAGAATAGAGTGAATAGAAAGTTATCCAGTGGTCATCCATCAGAGCCCGCTTCATTACATTAGCTCTTTCTTACGTGCCTACTTAAAGCTGAACACGGGAGGTTTTTTAATCAGTACGATCGTTTGCGTGGTCAGAGAAAGTGAACGAAGAATCAAGCAGCAGCACCTCAGTCCTTGCACAAGCCAGCCACTTCCGAGAACTACACTTCCCAAGATTCTTCGAGAAAAAAATGGCAACAATCTGAGCAATCAGTACGAAGGGTCAGAGGCGCAACTTTCCTCTGCTGCGCAAGGAAATGGCAGATTACATAATTACCCGTTGAAACATGTATTTAAATCTAGGCAAAACAGAGCAAGCGCCAACCTGTATCCCTGAGCAGACCTACCACCCGTGCATCTGCCTGCCTAAACTAAGAACACCGTAAGCAATGAAACCTAGGCAGAAACGCGCGCTGCCATCGATAACACTAAAAGAAGGGCGCGGGAATGGAGAAAACGACGTTGCAGAATTCCAGAGTTAAAAAAGGGACCTTGGAGCTCTTCTAGTCCAACCCCCTCCCCTCAAGCAGGAAATTGTAGCGTTCCAGACAAAAGGCTGTCCAATCTCTTCCTTGGGTTTTGTTTCAGGAACAAGAGTGAAAGCACCGTGTTTTAAACTGATCAGAACACCTGGGCATCTAATCAGGATTGCCAGAATTTGGTGCCCAAAGTCGTCCTTGCTTGCTGCTGACTGAATAAATAAAAACATTTGTGAGCGTCTTGTGTCCTCGCGGGTTTAAAAATTACCCCCCCCCCCAAAAAAAGCAAGAAGCGCTTGGGAAGTACGCCAGCCAGAAAAGAGGCGGTTAGTCTCTCTCTCTGGCAGCAGTTTATGGGCGCAAGTGCCCACCAGGCTGGGGAAATCTCTGCAGGGCGCACGGGGAGCGAGTCCCTCCGCGCTCGCGCCGTCGGCACTGAAGCCCTGGCCACGAGACCTCGCGCCGCCCACCCAGCCACCCTTCGGAAGCGAGGCCTCGCTCCACGGCCTGCTTTCCCGCCAGGCAGGCCCCGCCCATCCCAGAGCCCAGCCCGCGCTCTTTGGCCCCTCCCGCCGCCTTTTGCCAGGACTTGGCTGAGCTGCTCCGCCTTCCCTTCGCCAGTCGCGGAGCCTCCCTCTCCAGCTGCCGTCTGTAAGCCGAGCTCGCTGCCC